CGCCGTGTCCTTTGCACGACCCCAAACGAGGAGCAGCAGCCGACGATGGGGCAGAGCATGGAGTATCCGCCGAATGAACAGTAAAGAGGGGGGATAGAAAGTATCCGGCCCGCAAAGATGTCTTACATCACAGAGTTCACCTAGATGCGAGTCGCGAAATCGCTATTGTAATTGTATTTGCTATTGTAATTGCACTGCGTCTATTGTAATTACTATTATGTATGTGTTGCATCTTGCAAGTGTAACGTTTTCTCTCTCTATGGCCTCTCCATGATTCTATCTCTCTCTCTCTCTCTCTCTCTCTCTCTCTCTCTGCTCGCTCTCTCTGCTCTCTCTCTCTCTCTCTCTCTCTCTCTCTCTCTTCTCTTCTCTCTCTCTCTCTCTCTCGTCTCTCTCCTCTCTCTCTCTGTCTCTGTCTCTGTCTCTGTCTCTGTCTCTGGTCTCTGTCTCTGTCTCTAGTCATCTGTCTCTGTCTCTGTCTCTGTTCTGTCTACTGTCTCTGTCTCTGTCTCTGTCATCTGTCTCTCTGTCTCTGTCTCTGTCTCTGTCTCTGTCTCTGTCTCTGTTCTCTCGTCTTTCTCTCTCCTCTCTCTTCTCTCTCTCTCTCTCTCTCTTTCTCGTCTCTCTCTTCTCTCTGCTCTCTCTCTCTCTCTTTCTTCTCTGCTTACTATCGGTTGGCCCGTGGTATAGGTGTCCCGCATTGTACGGCGACACCTATGACATGAGCGTACCACCCCGTCCCTTATGGGTCGATCACAAGGGTTGGGATGTTGACAGAGCCAGTGAAAACACCTGCAGCGCCGAGAAAGGTGGGGGGGTGGTGCCGGTCGATCAAGTGAGCGGATACGGAGGGGGGGGTGCCGATCGTCAAGCAAGAAGATACGAGGGGGGGGTCGCCGGTCGGTGAAGTGAGGGAGATGAAGGGGGGGGGGGGGTGCCCGGTGGTGAGTGAGGGTAGAAGGGGGGGGGTGCCTGGTCGTGAAGTGAGCGGATATGAAGGGGGGGTGCCGGTCGTGAAGTGTAGGGGTATGAAGGGGGGGGGTGCGGTCGTGAAGTTGAGGGTATGAAAGGGGGTTGCCGGTCGTGAAAGTGAGGGGTATGAAGGGAGGGGGGGTCCGGTCGTGAAGGTGAGGGGTATGAGGGGGTGGGGTGCCGCGTCGTAAGTGAGGGCGTATGAAGGGCCGGGGGGTGCCGGTCGTGAAGTGAGGGATACGGAGGGGGTGCGCGTCGTGAAGTGGGATCGGAGGGGTGCCGGTCGTCAAGTGAGGGATAAGCGAGGGTGGGTGCCGGTTGCGTGAAGTGAGCGGATATGAGGGGGTGGTGCCGGTCGTTCAAGTGAGGATTACGGACGGCGGGGGGGGCGGTCATGAAGTAAGAACGTAAGAGCCCGAACGAAAGGTCACTTACCCCAAACACAGTTCTACTGTTGTATTATTGCTACAAGACCTTTCTTTTGTTTATTAATTCATCTAATCAGGTGTATGCCGACAATACAGCGGTTGATATTTTGTTTCACCCTTCCTTAACTACCACATCTCACAAGTGCTGTTAGACAAGTTTCCTATTATTAATTCCTTGGCCTGCACTCTTATAAAAGTCTACATTAAATAGGACAATCTAAGCGCTATTCTAAAAGCGAATTTGCCACACGAGAATGAGACAGTGTGAGATCTGATCTGTTTACGGTAAGAGTTGGGAGAAATTGTATGCAGTTTATAGGGGGAAGATCACGAAAGGGAGGATGCAGCACAGCTAATTATTGATCGCTCGTTAGTCGCGTGTCGCTAAGCTGTGGTCCTGATATGTGGTCTCAATGTTGTAGAATGTAATAATAACTAATATAATATAATAAATGTTCTGAATTGCGTGTTGCAGGCTGCGGCGGCACGAAGAGCCGAAGTCGAACCGAGCCAACAAATGAACGAACAAGCGCAACAACGAGTGCAGCAAGAAACAAAGGAGCATCCGTTAGTGCCGTTGAAACGCAAGCGAGGAAGGCCATCTAAGGCAAGCCTAGCGATTAGACAGATCGCGTCTGGCACGATGGGACAGACATCGAAATATTACCCACACCTGCACAACTAGCAGCTATGGTATGTAAATATATAATAGTATGTATTTTATTATGTTATGTTATGTTATGTTATGTTATGTTATGTTATGTTATGTTATGTTATGTTATGTTATGTTATGTTATGTTATGTTAAATGTTATGTTATGTTATGTTATGTTGTGTTGTGTTGTGTTATATATGTTATGTTATGTTATGTTATGCTATGTAATGTTATATTATATTTTGTTATTATAATATATCATATTATATCATATTATTTATACACATGCATCGATCACCCACGCATCTAAATTCACGGTCCATTTCAGATTTCGTATTCGATAAATGTGATTCCGGTTGTTCCGTGTGCAATAGATAGATTCTCATTAATGTTACGTATGTTCCCCTTGCAGCAAACCCTGGCCGGCTGGCAGATAAAAAACTGAGATGGTTGATGTACAGGAGCTTTTCGCCAGCTGAGCGTAAAAGTAGAGAAGGCCTCTCGACGAGGAGTCTGGATTGTAGAGGGAATGGCTACAGCGAGGACACAGGGGACGACCAGTTCCTCGGTACGTAGAAAATAAATGCATGCGGTAGTCTGTAACTGGCCTGCAGTGTTTGTAAGGAAATTCAATGTTGGTGATCGAAAGAATCTTTGTTGGATATCAAAATGGAGAGCAAGCAATTTGCTCGGTAGTCTTTCATGCTTAGGGTGATCAAAATTAAGTTCTGAAGCATTGTGATTTGTGATATATTTGTACAATTAATACAATCTGGCAGGGAAGTACAATAAAGAGGTCACTAGCTAGCTGATACCTGCATATAAAATGCATTATAATATATATATATATATATATATATATATTCAATATAACACTTCTAGTGAATATGTCTACAGTTGCAGCAACAGGCAGGACCAGTCAGTAAAAAGATCAAGCTGACACTAGACGAACAACCACAGCGACCCCAGCAGCAGCAGCAGCTGCAACCGAAACAGAAACAGTCGCAATCTCAGCCACAGAAGCAACAGAAGCAGCCTCAGCAGTCTCAGCAGCAGCAGCAGCAGCAGCAGAAGCAACAACAGAAGCAGCCTCGCGCAGGCAGCAGCAGAAGCACACAGAAGCAGCCTCAGCAGCATGCAGCAGAGCAGCAACAGAAGCAACAACAGAAGCAGCCAGAAGCACACAACAGAAGCAGCAGGCGAAGGAGACGAGGAGGAGGAGCCGTGTCCTACTGTGCCGGCGGAGGAGTACATGGCAAGCTGTATGTTGAACCAGCGCACGCCCACGGTGCCCGGAGATCAGACCTATCGATGACCCCTCGACCGGACCTCCTCTATCAAGACAAACTCATTTCCTGGCCCCGATGACCCGAACGCACGGCCTAAAGCTGATGCTCAACCCGTCCCTCGCCGTCGTCCGAAACCCAAGCTGCTGTTAAAACCAGACCCCATGCCAACATCTGGACCCGGCTCCTCCTCCTCCTCCTCCTCCTCGTATCTTCTCCCGTGACGTTCCTACAGCAAAGTCGCTAGCCTCCTCCGGCAAAGCTTCTCCAGGTGAAGTGGAAAAAAGCCCAGTCAAGCGAAGCGAGGAGGCGGCGGTGCGGAGCGTTCGCCTCAGCAGGTGCGACAAGAAACGCGCGATTTCATCGCGCTCCCCGAAGGAAGGCAGACATGGGGGGAGGGTCGTCGGGAGAAGTTCGCAGATGAAGGTTCCTCGGACGCAGACTCTGGGGCGAGGGCCGGTAAGGAACGGCGCATCTGGCGGAAGAGTGCGGACACTGCAGGAAAGGGAAAGTCTGCGCCTCCGGTAAGAAGATTTTATCGGCACAGGAAGAAAGGGGCGGCTCTGGGCAGCGATGGCAGGAAGAAGAAGGGCAATTACATTGTCCCACAGAAGTACAAGCGCGATGAACGAGGCAACTGATAGGTGAAAAGTCGGCCAGTAAAGGACTACGCGGCGGAAGCGACTTCCCGCTCATCGCTCCCAAACATATCTGGAGGCACACGCGCAACAACCAGGGATTCGGCGACGTGTAAGTGACCGTCGAATTGTGTCTGGTATTGTGCACAGGAGTTGTGTCTGTGATTTGTACTCAGGAGTTATGTCTGTGTTTGTGCACATCGAGTTTGTTGTGTGGTACTCAAGATTGCTGTCTGTGTTCGTCTCAGCAGAGTTGGTCTGTTGTTGTGCACAGGCAGTTATGTCTGATGTTGTACTCAGGGAGTTGTGTCTGTGTTGGTGCCCACAGGAGTTGTGTTCTGCTGTTGACTACTCAGGAGTCTGTGTCTGTGTGTGTACTCAGGGCCGAGTTGGCAGCTGTCTGTGTTGTACTCAAAGTTGTGATCTGTGTTGTACTCAGGAGTCTGTTGTCTGTGTTGTAGCCACAGGATGTTGTGTCTGGTTGTGACACAGGAGTTGTGTCTGTGTTGTGCACAGGAGTGTGTCTGTGTTAGTTACTCAGGAGTTGTGTCTGTGTTGTACTCAGGACGATGTGTCTGTGTTGTGCTCAGCGGAGTTGTGTCTGTGTTGTACACAGGAGTTGTGTCTGTGTTGTGCACAGGAGTTGTGTCTGTGTTGTATGGTAGCACTTTGAGAATCGTTCGATGAGTGTGATGAGATAGAGAGATCAATAGAGAAATAGAGAGACCGAGAGAGAATAGAGAGACTGAGAGAGAAATAATCAAGCAGCAGCAGCAGCAACAGAAGCAGCAGCAGCAGCAACAGAAGCAACAACAGAAGCAGCAGAAGCCACAACAGAAGCAGCAGGCGAAGGAAGACGAGGAGGAGGAGGTTCCTACTGCTGCCGGGGAGGAGTACATGGCCAAGCTTATGTTGAAGGCCGCCCAGGTGGCCGGACAGACCTACGATGACCCCTCGGACGGACCTTCTCTATCCAAGACAAACTTCATTCCTGGCCTGACCCCGAACGCACGGCCTAAGCTGATGCTCAACCCGTCCCTCGCCGTTCGTCCGAAACCCAAGCTGCGGTTAAAACCAGACCCCATGCCAACATCTGACCCGGCTCCTCCTCCTCCTCCTCCTCGTTCTCCTCCTGTGACGGTTCCTACAGCAAAGTCGTACCTTCCTCCGGCAAAGCTTCTCCAGGTGAAGTGGAAAAAGCCCATCAAGCGAGGAGGAGGCGGCGGTGGCGGAGCGTTCGCTCAGCAGGTGCTGAACAAGAAACGCGCGATCATCGCCTCCCCGAAGAAGGCAGACATGCGGGGGAAGGTCGCGGAGAAGTTCGCAGAGAAGGTTCCTCGGACGCAGACTCTGGGGAGGCCGGTAAAGAACGGCGCTCTGGCGAAGAGTGGGACACTGCAGGAGAAGGGAAAGTCCGCGCTCCGGAAGAAGATTTTATCGGCACAGAAGAAAGGCGGCTCGGCAGCGATGCAGAAGAAGAAGGGCATTACATTGTCCCACACGAAGTACAAAGGCATGAACGAGGCAATGAAGGTGAAAAGTCGGCCAGTAAAGGACTACGGGCGGAAGCGACTTCCGCTCATCGCTCCCAACATACTGGAGGCACACGCGCACAACCAGGGATTCGGCGACGTGTAAGTGACCGGAATTGTGTCTGTGTTGTGCACAGGAGTTGTGTCTGTGTTGTACTCAGGAGTTGTGTCTGTGTTGTGCACAGGAGTTGTGTCTGTGTTGTACTCAGGAGTTGTGTCTGTGTTGTGCACAGGAGTTGTGTCTGTGTTGTGCACAGGAGTTGTGTCTGTGTTGTGCACAGGAGTTGTGCCTGTGTTGTACACAGGAGTTGTGTCTGTGTTGTGCACAGGAGTTGTGTCTGTGTTGTATGGTAGCGCTTTGAGAATCGTTCAATGAGTGGTGATGAGATAGAGAGATCAAGAGAGAAATAGAGAGACCGAGACAGAAATAGAGATACTGAGAGAGAAATAGAGAGACTGAGAGAGAAATAGAGAGACCAAGAGAGAAATAGAAAGACCGAGAGAGAAAGGAGGTTTAGAGAGCGATAGGGGAAGCGGTTTCACTACTGCATCGCTGCTGTGGTGGGTCAAACGTGTGTATTGATTATTTCAGCTACCGACCCCAAGGTGATGTGCTGTGTTCCCTGAACTGTGTCGGGCAGGAAGGACTAGCACCGAGCCTACAGTGTGCGTCTTGCCTGTGTCTCTTCCATCCGACCTGCTTGGGAATGATTGGACACCCTACCGGACCATTCTTGTGCACGGTACGTGTTCCCATGCTTGCTTGTGCTTCTCTAATAACATACATGCACACATACAGACCCACACGTGCACATGCACACACGCACATGCACACACATCTATATTAATATATATATATATATATTAGATAAGAGGCTGGAGTAGCAAGAGAGAGAAATTCAAGATATTGGGACAAATAGAGACGTGAATGAAACATTACTAATCTTTAGAAGTGTTTAATCTATTCACTCTATGCAGGGTGCGAAATTAACGGGAGTCCGGAGTCAAATACTACCAGAATTACTGTCGGACTCCCTGATTTGACGTATGCAGGAGTCCGTGTGACTCCCTGAAAATTCTGCCATACTATCGAGTTTGTTCCAGAGCACAGCCTCGTGGAAATACCGTATTTTTTCAGCTAATATCCAAAGAAAATTTGACAGACGTGCAACCGCATGATAAGCACATGCGTTATTGTTAATATCTTTAATTTTGAACCTCAGACTGCGGACTTCCTCATTTTGCTGCGGACTCCCTCTTTTTGAGGGTAGGGAGTCCAGTCCGTTAGACTCCCGTGTTCAAAAGTTAATTTCTACCCCTGCTATGTATTTCGAATAAAGACGTGCATGCTCGTACACGTTTTGCAAGCATATACTACACATTTCAGAAATGTGCGTGCATCATTGCTGGCACGAAACCTCTAGGACTGGACATCGGCCAGCACTCCGCTTACCCACCCGGCGCCGACACCCTCTCCTACTCAAACTCCGCCATGCTAGACTACGCGACGTCCTGGAGCTACGGCCGCGCACCCTGGGAGTACGCGGTGCCCTCCTGGGGCCCAGACGCGTACCACTACGCCGCACCGCCGAACCGCCAGTTCCCGCCGCCTCCACCGTTAAAGATGGCGCCACACGCCGTCCAGGCGTCGCGCGGAGCGAGATCTCCGCCGGAGGAATACATGGCGGCGCAGCGATTGTTCTACGCGCAAAGTCACGGCGACGCGTCGCCGCGGCAACCGGAGCGAGGCGTCGCCATCGACATCACGTTCACCGACGTCGCGAGGAAGCGCAGCCCCGTGATCGCCGCGATGCCCGTCGCCACGGGAACGACGTGGCAGGCGCCGCGGAAGCCGGGGAAGCGTGTGCTGCGTCGCGGGGCGGTCGACCCGGGAGCGTGCGTGATCCAGCGGCTGCATGCGGGGCTGGAGGTGCTGCCGCTCATCTTCCGGCGGCTGTCGTTCAGCGATCTGATGAGCGCGAGTCGCGTGTGTCGCATCTGGCGTGGCCTCATCGACACGCCGACGATGGTACAGCGCTCGTTTATTTATTAATTAATATTTATTTATTTATTTTAAAAGATGCGCAAAAAATTAACTGGCATAAATTATAATTCGATTGACTCGCCGACAATGGTACCATGTTTGATTCTGGCTCGATTGTGTTTTACGTGAATTAATTTATTTTCAAAGGTGCGCTCAAAAAATGAACTAGCATAAATTATAATTCGATCGACACTCGGACGATGGTACAGTACTCAAGTCTTGCACCTCTGCTCGATTGTGTTTTACATGAATTAATTTTGATCGACGCGTCGATGATGGTACATCGCACTTCCGCTTGTCGTGGCGACTGGCAAATTCCAACCAAGCCGCAAAATCATTTTATCTGCACGAAGGTGCTGTTGTGGTTCGAGCCAGGAAACGCCGATGCAAATTATATTTCATGCGACTAAAATTATTTTAAAAATGTGCGCATCCTGCCTTCCATCCTAGCCTTCGTCTGGATTCGTGAATTTGTTTAAATAAATGTTTAAATTAATTAATTTGCTTGAATTACATTTTGGATTGACGTTTCCCGACTCAAACCACAAGCACCTCCATGCATTATGCAGTGAAATGATTTTGTGGCTATATTTGATTTTGGCAATCCCATTTGTTATGATATTATTATTGATGTTATTTTATGCAACTTGTTGAACGAATTATTTGTAACTGCTGCTTTACACTGTTTCAGTGGAAGACTATGGTCTTTCGTGGCTGTGAACGATTCGATTGGAAGGCTGTCACAGAAGTTGGTCGCATATACAACACGACACATTTGGTATGCCAGCACGTCAAACGTTTTCTTTTTCTAGAGAGGTGTTTGAAAACGTAATGAATACAAATTCTGATTATATAAATGTGATTAAATGTAAATAGCTGTTCATTAAAGATTAAAGTTGACAGTGGCAATGTTATTATACTAACTATAGTTTACTGACGATAGGTTTTCTTCTTTTAGCACAATATTTAAGGAAATTTTATATTGATTATACGATAAGCTGTCTGAATGAGCACTTCATTCTCTAATTGAACTTATTACTTGTCTCTGTCTTATCGATATCCAAATCGTTGATGACTAAAAACCTTTTTTAGGATCTGAAAGGCTTGAAAAATGTGCCAAAAATTGGTTACGAATCTCCCACCACTAGGTGGCAGCACGTGCTTGATGCTGTTCAGTTGCTGCCTTCATTGAAGAGGATTACCTTTGGTCAGGTACGTGAGGCTATACAAGAGCTGACCGTTTTTGAAACTTATGAGTACAGGCTATATCCATAAAAGTATTTAATATTAAATAAATAAAATTGTTGATACTATATATTGTACGATTATATTTATACTTTATTAGAATAATTACTATAGAGGAATTAAATTACTATTATAATAGAATGTAAAAGTCTTTCACGTTGATCCAAACTATTACATTATACCACATATCATTGGTAGGATATAATATGATTTGCAATGCAGGTGCCAGCGTTCGTGTTGGAAAGAATGGCAGACATTACTGAGCTGGCTGATAGATTGGAGGTGGTATCTGCTGAGTGGATCATAGACACTGTGCCATCGCCAGAAATGTGGTAAATAATTTACTAGGAGTAATTACGCTACTCTTCTCCTGTATCAGGTGTTGGTTTTTTCACAAATTATTTATGTCCTTCATACTTAATGCTAAATGCAACAGCTCTGTTCCTGTGTTCTACGCCTACCTTACTACATTGTGCGTGCGTGCGCATGTGTGTGTGTGCGTGCGTGCGCATGTGTGTGTGTGCGTGCGTGCGCATGTGTGTGTGTGCGTGCGTGCGCATGTGTGTGTGTGCGTGCGTGAGTGCGTACGTGTACGTGTGTGCGTGCGTAAGTGCGTACATGTACATTGTGCGTGCGCGTGTGCACGTACATGTACATTGTGCGTGCGCGTGTGCACGTACGTGCATGTGCGTGCATGTACGTGCGTGCGTCCATGCATGTGCGTGTGTGCATGCGTATGACATTCACGTATACTTCCTCTGCAGGGATATTGAAGCTGTGATGGACGTGCGTGTGTGCGTGTGTGTGCGTGTGTGTGTGTGTGTGTGCGTGTGCGTGTGCGTGTGTGCATGTGCATGCGTATGGCATTCACGTATCCTTCCTCTGCAGGGATATTGAAGCTGTGATGGACGTGCGTGCGTGCGTGCGTGCGTGCGTGCGTGTGTGTGTGTGTGTGTGTGTGTGTGTGTGTGTGTGTGCGTGTGCGTGTGTGCATGTGCATGCGTATGACATTCACGTATCCTTCCTCTGCAGGGATATTGAAGCTGTGATGGACGTGCGTGCGTGCGTGCGTGTGTGTACGTGGGTGCGTGTGTGTGTGTGTGTGTGTGTGTGTGTGTGTGTGTGTGTGCGTCCGTGCTTATGACATTCACATTGTCACGTATCCTTCCTCTACACTACAGGGATATTGAAGCTGTGATGGACGTGTGTGTGTGTGTGTGTGTGTGTATGTGTGTGCGTGTGTGTGTCTGTGTGTGTGTGTACGTGAGTGTGTGTGTGTGCGTGTGTGTGTGTGCGTCCGTGCTTATGACATTCACATTGTCACGTATCCTTCCTCTACACTACAGGGATATTGAAGCTGTGATGGACGTGTGTGTGTGTGTGTGTGTGTGTGTATGTGTGTGCGTGTGTGTGTCTGTGTGTGTGTGTGTACGTGAGTGTGTGTGTGTGCGTGTGTGTGTGTGCGTCCGTGCTTATGACATTCACATTGTCACGTATCCTTCCTCTACACTACAGGGATATTGAAGCTGTGATGGACGTGTGTGTGTGTGTGTGTGTGTATGTGTGTGCGTGTGTGTGTCTGTGTGTGTGTGTGTACGTGAGTGTGTGTGTGTGCGTGTGTGTGTGTGCGTCCGTGCTTATGACATTCACATTGTCACGTATCCTTCCTCTACACTACAGGGATATTGAAGCTGTGATGGACGTGTGTGTGTGTGTGTGTGTGTGTGTGTATGTGTGTGCGTGTGTGTGTCTGTGTGTGTGTGTGTACGTGAGTGTGTGTGTGTGCGTGTGTGTGTGTGCGTCCGTGCTTATGACATTCACATTGTCACGTATCCTTCCTCTACACTACAGGGATATTGAAGCTGTGATGGACGTGTGTGTGTGTGTGTGTGTGTGTGTGTATGTGTGTGCGTGTGTGTGTCTGTGTGTGTGTGTGTACGTGAGTGTGTGTGTGTGCGTGTGTGTGTGTGCGTCCGTGCTTATGACATTCACATTGTCACGTATCCTTCCTCTACACTACAGGGATATTGAAGCTGTGATGGACGTGTGTGTGTGTGTGTGTGTGTGTGT